AGGAGGAGGAGGAGGAGGAGGAGGAGGAGGAGGACCCTCAGTCAGACCCTCAGGTTGGAGTGAGACTGAAAAGTTGCTGAACTCTGTGAAACAATCAGCTCCACCTGAGAACTTCCCTCAGTTCTTCAATGGTTGCAGCTGTTCATCAGGAGACAGGAGACCTCTGTCTCTCTTTCCTCTGAGACAAACTCCTGTCCCCAAACCTGGACAGGTCTCTGCACAGTTCTGGGCTGTATCCTGTGAGTAATGTTTGGACCTGTTGTGGGGACCGAGAACACAACCTTGTGGACCACCTGAGGCCAGGCCCAGCAGGATCACAGCAGTTTGACTGTTAAAGAGGAACCAGGTCGTCCTGACAGAAGCCTCTGTGGTGGACTGAACAAGGTTTTACYTATTTGACACAGAGCCAGTGTGTCTGGGATCCTGGTCTGGTTCTGGGACTAATGTTGGAGWCTGATTTGAATAAAAGGCTGAGAGGTGAAACCACAGACAGAAACACTCCCAGCTTCGTCCAGGAAAACAAACTGTCCTCACCTGACCTGCGGTTTGTTCCTGTTTGACTCAGTTTCATCTAAAACCAGGTTTTCTTCAGAAACATCAGCTGAGCTCGGAGCCTTAAACAGATAAAAGCTGTAAAACTGCAGCAGACTCACGRTGAACTCCTGATCCACACTTTCAGGACTCGTCTTCTTCAGGGAGGKCAGCAGAGCGGGCAGCGGGTCCATGTTGAGTCCAGAACCATCAGCACCTGACTGAGACTCTGCAGCTGAAACCAGACCTGTTCTAGTTCTGTTTGTCCTCAGTCTCAGTTCTGCTCCGGTCTGCAGACGAGTTAATCATTCAGAGAGCAGAGGCAGTGTGCAGCCTGCAGCAGGAAGTGGAGAGAAACTCTTCAGACCTGCAGGACCTGGACCACCTTTGACCCAGCTCTGTTTCCCACAGTCAGATCATTAACCTGCTGGAATCGGTCCAGACTTCTTCCTGCAATGCATCTTCAATTTCTAACGACTAGAAAGAGACGAGCAATAAATCACATTCAAAATGAAAACAAGACAAAAAATCCTTAAAAACAGTAAATATAAAGTTATAAAAACAAAACGTCTGCAGAAAAATGAGCCTGACAAACAGATTTTAATTTTTTATTATTTTATTTATTTAACAAAACTTTTGTTCAAGTTTAAAAAGATGTCTAAATTCAATTTAGCTTTACCCATACATTATAAAACTTTACAAGTCCTGTAGTGGGATCAAATATTAAGGATTATGTAGTTTTTTATAGTTTTATAAAGTCTTTGAAAACCTCCTAGTTAGAGCTCAATTTGTTTCATGTCAAACTGTGTATTTGTTTTTTCATTAATTCAGTTAAACAAGCAAACCAATGGAAAGACTGCCAGGAACAAGTAAAGAGTGAGACCTCTGTACATTTGCCCATCTTCACGTGTCAGTTCTGTTATCTGAAACAACATCAGAGTGAGACCTCTGTACATTTGCCCATCTTCACGGGTCAGTTCTGTTATCGGAAACAGAGTCAGAGTGAGACCTCTGTCTTCAGCACTTTGTTCTGCTCTCTGAAACAGAGTCAGAGTGAGACCTCTGTCNTTCTGCTCTCTGAAACAGAGTCAGAGTGAGACCTCTGTCCTCAGCACTTTGTTCTGCTCTCTGAAACAGAGTCAGAGTGAGACCTCTGTCTTCCCCACCCTGGTAGCTGCTCCGTGTCTCCTCCGTTAGCCTAGCCGCGGGCTGATAGCTGCAGCCCGGGTAAACATGGCCATGTCGCAGGCTCTGTCCGAGGAGGAGTTCCACCGGATGCAGGTGAGTTAGACCCGGTGTGTGTTCTGTTGGTCCGGTTTAACGAGCTGGCGGTCAGGTACCTGCCAGCTGCGGCATCATTCAGTGGCGTTTGCTGCTCCGGACTAACGGTGTTCCGGTGTCGGTTCGGTGTCAGTTCTACTGGTTGTGCTGTTGGTCTGAAGCTGTCTGAGCTGTTTCAGCCCTCAGACTGGTGAAAAACGTCAGGTTAGCCTCGTGATGCTAACGTTACTCAGTCTGACAGTAGGCTAACGTGTTAGCATGTTAGCATGTTGTGATGAGAGTCACGGGGTCTGAGAGGGGCGGCTGGCCGGGTCCGTGTTCCCTTCAGCGGTCACAGGAGCAGGAGGACTGCGGTCCCTGCGGGTCTTCAGGGACAGGAAGTGATTCAGATCAGGATTCTGTGGACCAGATGAAACAACTGGTCTGAATCTGTTCTTAGACTGCTCCACAGTCAACCTCCGGCCTGCGGGCCAGCAGTGGTCGTTGGTTGTGTCAGTCTGGTCTTTGATGTCATTAGATCAAAATAAATGTTTTAATTTTAAACAAAGGATAAATTAGTTTTAACTCATCTAATCAGCTGTTCTCTGCCAGGATTAAGAGTGCTGCACTAACCACTGCACCACTGTGCAGCTCTCTAACCACTGCTCCACTGTGCTGCTCTCTAACCACTGCTCCACTGTGC